TGTTGGAGCAGGTGAATGTTGCTTATAGGACCCTAAAATGTTAGTCTACAAAAAGTGCTAGGGATGGACCAAAGTGTTTACAAGGCCATTCAGTAGGTAGTACAAAGATAAGGTTAAAGCTCTTGATTCTCAGTCCAATACTGTTCCCTTTAGACAGTGCTACTTTTTAAGAATAGACGATTGCTAAGAGAAAAAAAAAAAGAGGGGAATAAATTATGTGATATATAAACACATAAAACTTAAGCTAATGAAACAGTTTTACAGTATCAGTTTTAATTGTATGTGTTGTGGGGCAAAGTAACTAGCCCTTTCTCCAACATGTTTTGCTTTAAAATATCATAAATATTTTCATTTAAAATTGTTTTTGCATTTCGAAACAAATAAGCAGACAAACAACATCCCGTGTAAATCTGTTGTCCAGAACTAAATGTGGATGACCCTGTTCTACTTCAGATCTTCTATACTAATAGAGAAGTAGTTGTTCTGATGTTTAAAATGGATAAAGGTATTTGAAAAGGAATTTACTGTGAGAATTGGCAGTTTTCATATAAGCCCTTATGATCACATCCATGTTTAATATATTATTTTTTATAATATTTTAATTTTCTCACAGTTGTATGTGGAAGTTCTCTATGTAGCCACAAACCATTTTCCCCCTACCTTGATTTTATTATCTAATCTAGATGTGAAATGATTTACTACTTGTGTGAAAAACAGGAAGTATCTTTTCTAGGTTGTTTTATGTACTAATGAAATGTCTATGAACATGTATTTCTTATACCACCCAAATTATACATATCCCAAGAAAAAGAGGTTTTTATTCTTTTTGTACAATTTTCTAATATAAAAGACATTAAAAATCATTACAGTTGTCCCTGAATAGCAATATGAGTTGGTTCCAAGACCTTTATTGATGCTAAAATCTGTGAATGCTCAAATCCCTTATATAAAATGGTATAGTATTTGCATATAATCTACACATATTCTCTTATGTACTTTAAGTCACCTCTAGATTACTTATAATACCTATTAAATGTAAATTCTGTACAAGTAGTTGTTATGCTCTATTGCTGGGGAACTATGACAAGAAAAAACATTGACATGTGTTGTTTTTTTTCTCCCCAAATACTTTTGATATGTGGAATCCTGGATATGGCCAACTGTAAACGGATGGAACATTTTAAAATAAATCTAAAGATATACTTCATAATATAAAAACTTAGGCAAAGTTCCCTTCCTTATAGTAGCCAGCCTTCTTTCTTCTCTTTACTATTTAGCTTAGTTTGTAAAGGAAAATAATAACCTGATTTAGTGGTTTTTTGCTTTATGTTCATCAGAATCTCGGATAAGTGAGCCTTATCCTCAGATTTTCTGATGCAGTAGGTCTAGGATGGGGTCTGAAACTTTACTTTTTTTGAGGCAGGGTCTCACTGTGTAGTCCAGCTGACTTTGAACTTATGATCCTCCTGCCTCAGCCTCCCAACTGGTGGAATTACAAGTGTGCACTGTCACACTCATTTGAGAATTTATATTTCTAACAAATGCTCGGGTGATACCGAAGCTGCTGACAAATGTGCTTTAAATTGAGAACCACCTGCCTAGACAAATAAAAAACTTAGAACTGTATTATCTTTGTTGTAGCATGACAGGATTAAAAGAGTATATTTTAATTCCCAGAAATATGCTTACCAAATGTAGAATGTTAACATATTTGTCATGTTGTCTTGCTTAATTTTTTAAAAAGGGATATAGGCATCTCTTTTGAAAGGCATTCTGTCAACTGTGCGAAAGAGGAACAGTCATATAGTTGAACATAGGTACCACTTTGAATGTAGACCTGAATAATATATGTTTTTCATCATCTATGCTTTAGATTAGGGAGTAGCAGTATGAAATTCCTAACCTAAATATAAGTTTTTAAGCTTAACCATTTTTGAGCTATCCTTGCTTGTTTGTTTTAGGGTCTTGTTGTGTAGTTCAGGCTGGCCTTGAACTCATTAAGTAGCCCAGGCTGGCCTCAAACTCACAGCAATCTTCCTGCCCCAGCCTCCTTAGTGCATAGGGATTATAGGAATGTGCCATTTTGTTATTTTTTAAAGGAACAACGTGGAAAATTCAGAATCAACTATTTAATATTAATCATTAACTTTGTAATTTATTAGCCAACAGAAGATTCTTCTTTATTAGTATAATGTTGGTAAGTAGTTGCATAACTATTTAACACTTGTCTCCATATATATATATATGTGTGTATATATATATGTATATATATATGTACAGATATATAAATATAGCTGGTTGATATTCCATTATAGGCATGCCATAAAATGAAATTCCATACACAAATCCTATATTCCTACTGAAAAAATTCCTTATAAAATGGAAAGTATTTTTAGAGGATTTCAAATTAGGTATCTTTAAGGGAAATAGTGATTGATTCATTCAAGAAATACTATTTATCTACTTCTTGTTTACTTATTAAGTGCATTTGGATATAGTGATAAACTCAACCAATAAGAACCATGTTCTTAAGGAGCTTATATTTTGATGGGAGGAAGAGGCAATTAACAACAACAACCCAAAAAAAAAGGCATAAGAAATTCAAGTAGACTGATATATTAGAGAGTGATTGTCATGGTTGAGACCTGAAATGACTTCCCAGAATTTCATGTGTTTGAATGGTGATTGGATCATCAGGGTGCTTACTCATCAGTAGATTCATTGATGAATTAATAGCTGAATGTGCTATTAGGAGGTGGATGCTGTTGGGAGGTAGGTCGCTGAGGTTATGATGTGGAATGTTGCATTCTTATCCTCGAGTCTTCGCTTCTTCCTCTCTGCTTCCTAACCACCATGGCATGAGCAATTTTCCTCCTCCATGCCCTTTCACCATGCCACATCTGCTTTGGAGCCTGCAGACCATAGACTGAACCCACTGAAACTGAGAGCCAAAGTGAACCTTTCTTCCTTTAAGGTGTAGGCATTAGCTCCTTTGGTTTCAGTGATAGGAAAGCTGATATGTGACTAAGTCACTGCCATAATCAGGAGGAGGACACTCTAAAAAGGTGACATCTAAGAAATACTTGACCCGTAACTATTTTTAAAAGATTCTATGACTGGTGTTTGCAGGTTGAATTGCTGCCAGGAAAGATTGAAATTGAGGAAATAAATAGGAAGCTATTGCAGTAATTTTGAGGAGAGAAAATGGTGGCTTGGATTGCATAGAGAGAATGTAGTGTGAAAAAAGATGAAAGAAATGGACCTGAAAGAGCAGTTTCTGTTAAGAGAATTGAGATTTGGAGAGATACAGAGAGCCATTTCTGTCTTCCTGGTAGTCCTAGGAAAACAGTTGGGCTCTGTATGCTAATAAGCCTTTTACCTGCAATCTGTGCTACCACAGTTATTATGGTCCTTCAACCTGAAGATTTGTCTATGGGACTGAACCATTCTATTACCATTGTTCAGTTGGATTCCCATTTTGGTTGGTTTTATTAGCTTCCCATTGTTTGCATAGCCATCTCCTGTTACTGACAACCCAGTGCCAGTCTCTTTCCTGTGCTTTCGGGACTGTGACTAGTCAGAGAAGTGATTACATAGGAGAGTTAGATTAGGTTTATGTTACAGCTGGACTCTGAAGTACATGCATGTTGCCCTGAATCTCCTATTTTCTTGTGAAAAGTTAGTAGTCCTGACATAGAAATTAAGTCCATGTATGTTGAGTGAAAGAAGCCAGGTACAGAAGACCATGTATTATATGATTCCATTTATATGAAATGTCTCCAAAATGCAAATCTATAGTGACAGAACATAATAAATGGTTGCCTAGGGCTGTACATTACAGAGATTAACTGCCGTTGGATGCGGAGTGATGAAAATGTACTCTGAGTATGGTGGCATTGACACAGCTCAGTAAATTAATAAAGATGAAGTTATACACTTTAAG